GGGTTACGTGGAGGTCTTTTGCTAGCTTTCTTTTTAGAACAGATTTAATTGATAGGTTTTAAAAAATCACGAGAATATGAAGTACTTTAAACTGTATAAAAAGTTAAAAAAAATTTTTTTATTAAATTGGCTAAGCCACAATGTCGATCATCCAAATTCGGGTTTGTCCACCATGCTAATTAATACAATATAGTATAAAGAATAGTAAGAAAATTTTTTACATATTTTTAAAGCAGCTAATATGTATAATCATATTGTACTATTTTATATATATAGGAGTTTTTATTAAAAAATGCAGGTTTTCTGCATATAATAGTAACAATTACTCAGATAATAATATGTAATTTAATATTAAAAATATGTTTTAATCAAGTTTTTTTTTGAGTAAAACCCTAAAGTAAATTTTATTAATATTATATAATTTTGCTTTAAAAATATATATATATGCAAATTATTTGGTATTATTAAATAATTAGTTGATATTCTAAAATATCTGTACTAAAGACTTTAATATGAATACAAGAAAAATACCTTTGTATAAAAAAAAATACTACAAATAAATTATCTGGTAGTAAGAAAATATTAATAATTTATTACTATAATAACTTATTATATAGTAATAAAAATATTTTCTATTTTTGATAGATACAAAAAGGCAATCAACTAATAGTAAAAAAAAAGCAGCTAGCTAGACAAGATCATTAATTACTTTTTCAGTTCTCGATCAGGAATATATTTGTTTTTTTTGTTTTTTTTTTTGTAATCTTTAGTTTTTTTTTTTTTGTAATGCTTTATTTTTTTTCTTTACAAATTTTAATAAACAATGATAGCAAATCTTGAATCTGAAGCAAAAGCTTTATTTTTGCAAACAAGAAATAATACTCACATATTGTATACAGAATTAGTATCTGCTATATATAGTATCTCCAAAGCTGATAAAAAAATACCAGTGCTAATTAAAAAAGTTTGTAGCTGTTTTGATGACTATCATTATTGTCTTCTTGCAAAGCTTCAAAAGAGAGCTGATGAGTATTTGAATCAATTTGAGTAAGTCTTAAAAATAAGTAAAATAAATAAAATAAAAACTAAGAAATTAATAAAATTATCTATCAAATTATAGTAATAATATTCCTACTAATACACAATTACTGAAGCTTATTTTGAAAGATATGGTGTAAGGTACTATGTCAATTTCTTGAAGCAACAGAACAGCCTGTCCTTTGCCATAATAAAAAAATATAAAACATCTTGGGTGATTTTGTCTGTAAAGCAATTAAGAGAATCATTATGGCAGTGTTATTTATCACCTGATTTTTTTTTATCAGAAGCTTACCCCCTAGTTTTTAATATATAATTTATCAAGTTTTATATATATAATTTTAAATTTTTTGACCCACCTCTAGAAAATCACCTGATAATTGTCAGCTCTCTTACTTCAAAATTAGAGAAAATTGATATAAAAATAGTACTTCATAGTTGTGATACAATTATGATTAACCTGCAAATTCTAACTATACTTGGCATTGTTATTCAATTGTCAGTTCAAGATTTATTAAAATATAAAACTAGTTAACAAAGAAGTAAATAAATATTAATATAGCAGTATAAGTTATATTTACTATTATAAAAATTAATTATTAAATACTTATTGTTATATTAGCAAGTAATAAATTTCAATTACAATAAACATATTTCTAATTACTATTTAGTACAAATATATTTTTAATATATTAAATTACTTGATCAAGTTATTTTTCTTTTGTTATAATGTAAGGATTATGTTATTAACAGAATATAATTCGGATTAATAAACTTTAAGTATAATTATAAATTATAAAAATTCTAGTACTATATATAAAATCTAAAAAAAAATTTAGACAAAAACTAAATTGTAAATATAATTTTATTATAGAAAAATTATATCTGGCGACCTATCGCCATGGTGACCCATATGATTAGCCAATCATATTTAAGATTAGTGATCATATATTAGCTTGTCTCCAAAGTAGATCTGAATTTAAATCGATCTACAGATAAATCTATTATTTTGTTTTTTTTTTCATTCGCGCTAATGCTTTTTTAGATTTTCTTTAGATAAGTAAAATTTATTTTTTTTATTTTTTTTATTTTTTACTTTAAAGGTACTAACTTTTTTTTTTTAGTTGCTTCTTTTCTTGGAGTAGTTGTTTTTGGAGTCATTGTTCTTGGAGTCATTGTTCTTGGAGTTGTTATTCTTGGAGTCATCATTCTTGGAGTCATTGTTTTTAAAATCATAGCGGGAGTTGAGATCTTTGTCAGTTTAAGAGTTTTTTTACTAGTTAGTTTTTTTTGTTTGTTATAGGTACTAAAATCTCTTTTTTTTTAGGTGTTTCTTTTCTTGGAGTTGTCATTCTTGGAGTTATTCTTTGAGTCACCATTCTTGGAATCGTCATAATAGGAGTTGAGTCCTTGGTTGATTTAAGTAGTTTTTTTTTTTTTGCTAGTTTGTTTTTTTTTGTTACTGGTACTACTTTTTCTCTTTTTTTAAAAGCTTTTTTTCTTGGAGTCATTGTAGTAGTGGAAGTCGAGATCTTCGTTGGTTAGGCCACGCAAAGTTAATTTTTCATTTTGCATTACATGGATTTCAGAATCAACAGTCGGTGGTCGGATTTTTTTTTTTATTCTACAGTAAATAATAGACTCATTATATTTAAGGTCACACATAGTTAATTTTTTACTTTATATAACATGGAATCAGAAAATTTGGTTGGCAAATGAAATTTTTTTATCAGTTTTATTAGACAATTCTGGAAAAATAAAGACTCTACTAGGTGATATTCAATAATTTATAGGGAAAATTAAATGGCAAAAATAGAACAATTGGCAATTGGAACTTAAAAAAAAATTGAAAAATTGAAAAAATAGGTTAGCAAATAATGCAAAGTAAAAAATTTACTTTGTGTGACTTTTAGTGATTTTTTTTTTTTACTAGTTTGTTTTTTTTTTTGTTACAGGACTAGTACTAACTTCTCTCTTTTTTTAGATACTTCTTTTCTTGAAGTTATCGTTTTTGGAGTTGTTGTTTTCAAAGTTGTAGGTCTTGGAGTCATTCTTGAAGTATTGTTCATAGGAGGAAATAGGTGCTTCTGGTGTCTTCATTTTGTCTTTGTGGGAAATCGTTCGATCTGTTATGGGTGTATAGAGCTGGGCGAAGTATTTTTTTAGATTAGATCTATATTGTTATGTATCATTATATATTGTTGATTTTTTTTTAAAAAAAAATAAAAAATTTCGAGTTGTACCCAGTAGTGATAGATATATAGATTTGCTCTTTTTTTTTTTTTTAACTTGTAGTTTCATAATGCAATATTTTTAGATGTTCAATCAATTAAAATTAGTTCTGTGAGTCATGTGTTTAACCGATTTGCTTTTCGCAAATTGGTTGTTACGTGACTTACATGATCGATTTTGATTGGTTAATCAGGGAGTCACCATAAACTAACACTCATTATTATATTTATAATAAATATATATTTCTTGTATATATTGATATTATAATTATTTGAATCATGCAATTTTGCATTATAATTTAAATCTGTTACAAATTATTTTTATTTTTATTATTAATACGTACAGATTAATGCCAAATTACCAAATTAAAAACATATATACATACCTTATAGAAATAAGCAAGCACTACAATTTTTATATAGCTTCGTAAAAAACTTATTTTTAATATATTTTTGATTATTTTGAATAGGTAAAAAATGAATTTTTGAACATTGTTATTACATGTGATCGGATAAATTCAAAGAAACTGTTGATCATTTATTATTTGTTTATAATATGAGCAATCTAAAATTAAATCTTTTATATTAGTTGCTTAAAGCCATTTTAAGACAAAGAAAATTGCAAATTTGGTATTATTTGCTTGGTGTTGTAAAATTGCTTGTATTTTTGTATATGTAAGACCTTTATTCTTTTCTTCAATTTCAATTATATCACCAATATGAAATTTAAGTTGATTTGATTTTCTATTATTTTCAATAATAGTATATGAAATATAATCAAAAAAATCTAACTTATCATAAAAAAAAGCACTTTAAATACTAAAATATTCTAAATATGAAAGTTGTAAATCATGATAAAAAGGATGCTGGCTGCTTAGTTTTGTTGACTATTCTTTATTATTTGTTCTTGTTTTAGACTACTTATTTCATAATACTATGTTTATAAAATTTTTTGGTATTAAATTTGAGATAATATCAACTTCTTCTATATTATCAATGATCTTTTTAAAGTTTGGATCTATAGTATACCACTTGCAAAGAATTGAATATAGTGAATTGTCTGAAAAAAGATTTGAAAGTTTATTTGCAGTTGTTGAAAAATGATAATCTTTACCACCATTAAGTAAGTTAATGCAAATAAAGTATGATATTATCGAAAAAGATCTAGTTCAAAATTTTTGTAATTAGTATGTAGTATATATTTTTGTATATTCTGTGTACCATTTCTTTGACTCCAACAGTTGTATTAACAAGAGTTGCAAAAGTGCGAGCATGTTGTGGCAGATGAATACTTATATAAACATTAGGTAAATTTTCAAATTCATCTGAAAAATTTTTAATAAGTTGATTTGTTTTTTTTTAAATAAACAGTGAAGCTTCTTATAAGTTGTTAAGAAAGCTAATTTGAGTAGTTTTGCTTCAATAACCCAAAACTCTATTAGTTTAATAATAGTAAGATTATTATGATATTTCAGTTTTTAAATATGAAGATAATAAAAAGTAATATATAATAAATAGATAAGTATTATTTGTTATTGTTGTTAAGAAAGCTAATTTGAGTAGTTTTGCTTAAATAACCCAAAGCTCTATTAGTTTAATAATAGTAGGATTATTATGATATTTCAGTTTTTAAATATGAAGATAATAAAAAGTAATATAAAATAAATAGTATTAATATTGCTAAACGCAAAGTGTCTAAAAATGTAAAACTTTGACAATGAGTTAGTGGATTTGGCATCCATGACTATCTTGCTGGTTTTTTATACTTTTCTAATATTTAAGCCAAGCTACTTCTCTATTAGTATTCAAACATCTAAGAGTTATATTTAAAAAATGTGTAGCTTTACTAGCAAGTACATAGTAAGCATCTTGTAGTATTTGTAAAAATCTGTTTCAATAAAGCTTATCAAGTTTATATTGACTATATAATTGTCAATGTGTAGAATCTGTTTTTTGCTATACAATTTTATTATATTGTATATTAGTTAAATGATGAAAATGTGTATTTGAAAGAAAGTTAAATTTTGAATCTGTTAGCTAGCTGCTAGATACAATACAAGTTCTGCAACTATAGTTTGCATTATGTTGAAAAACACTAACAAGATCATTACCTTGTAGTAAGTTAGCTGTAACAAAGCCAAGTCTGCCTACAATCCATATTTCTCCTTCTAAAAATATTATCAAAAATTGGTTCAATATAATCATTAAATGAAGCCCCAAATGGAACAAAGCCAAGTAAAAAATAGTTTTTGAATAACTTTTGTAACTCAAGTGGTATATTTCCAATAACCAAATATACACCATCTAGTGAATAATATGCATTACAAAATGTACTAAAATTATCATAATATATGTCAAAAAAAACCTTCTTACTAGGCATTGGACATGGTAGCAATAGTGGAATAGGTATATATTCATAAGGAGCTCTGTGCCTTTTGATAAGATCATGAATATGCTATGGACTATTAAAGCTATATAATATTTCAGTTACAAAATATTCATATTCTGCTAGCCTATTAAGATCCTTTAGCCAAATATTAATTAGAGTAATATTTTCAGATATAATCAAATATTCTTGCCCTTCAACAAGCCAAAGTTGCATACTATTCTACATGTTTTTCTATTATTACTATGCAAGTATCTGAGAAGCCTATAATATAAAACAAGTAGATCAGCTCTGTGTAATTGTCTTTCATTAACTTTAATAACACTATGAACATGTGCAAACTTAATTGCTTTATTTTGATTATACTGTAAAAAATTGCCTGCCTGGTAAGTAATTAGTTAAAAATAATAATAATAATAATTAATTAATAAGATAAAACTAGGTATTATTATAATATTTGCAATATAATATATCAAGATTTTTTTTAAAAAAATACTGATTATTATTTATGAAAAGTTTAAATTCTCCAAATAAAGACGAGTCTTGCCAGAGTTCACTATACTATAATTTACATTTTTTATCACATACAATACTAGGGCAAAATATAAATAAGGTGCAATTGTTGGATTATTAAGAATATATTCAATATAATCTGCTGGCATTATTGAATATGTAGGTTTTGTTGGATCTAAGTTTGATGGTGTATGCTGTCTAGAAATTAGTACTGTATGACTCCAAACCTTAAGCAATGAAAGTCTATTTATCTATTTGTATAAATGCCTTATATTTGTAATAACATGTTCAGGCTATAAGCCAGGATGTTTAAGAATTTTGGTAAGTTCTTCACAGGCAGTTGTAGAAATTATATGCTCTGTAATCCATAAAAAAAGCATAGTATATATAAAAGTCAAAAAATATAGTTCATATCCTCCATTAAACCCTTCAAAGGATTGTGATCAGCTCTCAAATAGTTTGTATCTTTTGGTACTCTGTTCTATTTCTTCAGCAGTATTATTATTATCTGAATTTGTCAAATCATTATTATTGTCTGAATTTGTCAAATCATTATTATTATTATGTAAATAGTTTTCATAGTCTTCCAAATTTTCTGAATTTACATTATCATACAAGTATTCCATCTTATTATTCTCCCAATCTATACCATTTGAATATTTATTTAAATTTTCTAAATTACTTAAATGATTTGATTGTTTATTTGATTTGTTTGCTGTTAACTTATAGGTAATAGGTAAAGAACTTTAATACCTTTTAGCTAGTTTTGTACAAACACAAAGAAGAGACAAGAGTGTGTAGAATTTTTTTACTCTATTATATTGATTGCTCATACTAAGGCTTGCCTAATTTAATAATTGAAAGCAAAGTATATATATTTACTTTTAATTATACATTGATTTCTCTTATTTTCTTACTAGCAATGTCTTTATCTAGTTTAACTTTATACAATTTATACACAACAAAATAAATCTTTTATTACTTTGTTCAGGTAAAAAATCTATTAATAATCATTATTTTTCCTTTATATTTTCTTATTACAAACTATATACTTTATGCATACATTAAAATAAACTCTGCATGCATTATCTTCATATTATACTAACTCTGCATTTTAACTCGAGAACTGTATTATCTGATTTTATATAAATTATAAGTTTCTAAATTAAAATAATATGATTAGTTATACTTATATCCAGCTTTTTGTAAAAT